TTGTTTTGTTGACAATTTAACAGTGGAACGTTACAGAATTCAGTAGTCATTGGTAGAATAGGACAAAATGTCAAACTGAAGGTTGAATAACTTTCATTCAGTATGAAGATTGCACACTGAGGAGGTGCTCTTGGAACTGCTGTGGGCCAAATCTGTCCTCTGCCTGTTTGATGGAAGCTTGTCTCTGATGTTGTCAGTGTTAAAGTGTTTTAATTTTCTGTTAAAAAAAACAAACCTGTAGCTGCAACCAGAATAGGAGATTTGAAACTGCATGAGATTGAATCTTTCAAATATTTATCCTACTGTGAGTCCTAATGAGATGAGGTGTGTATACACTGTTCTCCCCATGTTTTATTCATGTAGATTTTATTAACTATGTACTGTAGAAGTATTAGGCTTGGGCTGTATGTATTTTTTCATACCTTCCTGACATTTCACCGGGGTATTACACAAAAGCTGATCTGCTGGTAATAGAACTTATTGTAGCATGTGAGTATGTCTATTTTAGCCGGCGCAGCTTTTCTAGGCTTTTTCGTCAGTGAGAGTCATCTCTCGTGATGCTACTCGGCCAATTAAATCTGTGCATTGCGATTTGACTCTGAGTGAGATACACATAGCCTGTGCGACAAGATGAGAAGAAATAAGTCTGTCAGAGTAAACTAATTTCACATGCTGTGCTCTAAAAAGAGAAACATAGACAGCAAAAAGAGTTTTTATTCCAGAAAGGACAGACTCGTACATGTTCATGCTGATTATTTAAAAGCGCCATGTGAAACTCTACTAACATTATGAAATATGAAAATCATCCCTTCAAGATTTCCTAATACCCTGGTACACCGTAATACTTCAGTACTGCTCAAGCCTAGACTTTTCTTGTTACTCATGGTTAGGGCACGGTATTGTAATTTCTTTATCCTTGTAAAGATACCTTAACTTGATTTCAGTTCCCATTACTAAAATTAAACGTGTTTTGATGCCATACTTACATGTTTTCTACAAAATCCTTTTTTCTCTCTGACAAAGGAAGGCCAAGTTCTCAAATGAAGAATGCCATTTCGGTGCTTGACTTTAGTGCTACAGAAAGAATTATTAATGTATCGTATGCATAGCTATACACATGCTGTATCTACTCACGTCTAACATCTAAGGAAAATCAAATAGCATTTCAAGATGAAGAAAGTGCACACAACTCAGTGAGTAGCTGTACATTTGCATAGCACTGTAGTTTCTGGAAAAGAGTACCTAACAACAATGCCTGGTTACTTGCAAGAGCTGCTGCTTGGTAGACAAGCTGAGAACCAACAGCCAGAATCTACCTACATTTTTGTTGTGTAGCTGGCAGCATATTGTTGTGTATCCTCAGAGTCTGTTCTCACCTGATGCTAAACACTGAGTTTGGCTACACAAGTGAAAACAGGCAGAGCCGCACTTGTCTGAAGTGTGATAATGCTCCATAGTGATAGAAACAAGATAAAGAAAATGTACAGACGCTAATGAATCAGCCTCTCTATCCTCCTCTCCGTCTCTCAGCAGGCTTACTTCCTTTACCCACCAACAATACCACCCTTTTTTCCTTAGAAGGCCTGTTTGCTTTACCTTTCCTTCTCTCCCTGTCTGTAGATGAAAGCAGTGGAGGAAGATGATTATCATAAGCTGTAGAGTTTTATCTGTGAAGGCGGCTGGCCGTCTCCTCTGATGGGTCGTTTGGATCCTGTCCCTGCGTGATGACATCAGCAGCAGGATTGCCTATAAAATGCAATGGAGTTTGTTAAGGGCCTCAGTGCGGCCAGCAGACAGGCCACGGATCAATGGAGAGGTTTAAGATGACTGGGCAGACGTGACTACACACACCGACACATACAAGCTTAAGAGCCAGTCACATGCACATGAGATGCAGATGGTGATAACAAATAGAGGCCTTCTGCAGATCTCTACGTATGCAGTCTGAGGCGAAGCCGTGAGAGAGGACCAAACCGTGTACACATTCCACTACTTTTGTTTTGTCTCTATCATGGACATATGTAAAGATGGATGACATGACAGCTCTCCAAAGGTGAAGGGCCAAATAAAAAAAATCAAAGTACACGTCAAATAATTTTTCCCAAATATGGTTTCTGGCATTTTAGTGAGTTCTTATCACGCTGATGTAGGTTCAAATGTTAATTTAAGATGGCAGTGGGAGGAAGGGGAGATGCAATGTCCATCTCTTATATGTTGATGGTCTCTACCCATAGTCAGGTAGCTAACGCTAGCTAGCCAGCTGTCTTCAGACTGATGTCCTGTTAAGAAGCACTACCAGCAAGAGCAGATGAGTTAGTGAGCAAACGTTTGAGTTTACACCGGTGGATGCCCATGCTCTACGTAGTTGACACATCTGGTTGTGGCATTCTACTTTCTACTGTAAAGGATATTTTAAAATATGCATACCAGTGATCTCCTTTTAGGTGCTCATAATGTAAAAATCATGCTTTAGTATTTTTTGCATTTGTGCGTAAAATCAGGAATCATCCCTTTGCTAAAAACAAAACAAAAAAATCTCACCCATATCACCCATGCAGTCTTTTTGATGCTGTCTCGTCCTCTTGGCTAACATGTCTCCTATCTTATTCATGCGCTTCATATCCTTCTCATCCTTCATATCCTTCTCTACTTCTGTTTGACTGCATTGTTCTCTCTCTCTCTGTCCGTCCTATCATCTGTGCCTGTATTTGTCCCATGTTTAACTCTACAGTTTGACCTCCAAGTCTTCTGTAAGACGTCCCACTGGCTGCTTAAGTATTCTGCAAACACCAGCATGTGTTATCGCTCCCTCTTACTTTGTGAGACAGCAGGAATTTTCCATAGATCTGGTCTCTCTATAAAACTGCTCAGCCCTGACAGATTGTGTTGATGAATCAGCCTCCGTCTGCCCTGTGTTCAAGTGCTTTTCTCTGTGGCGTTGCTTAGCCTCACTGCTGTCTGCAAGTTGTACAACTCCCTCTCTGTGCATTAATCCCGCAACTGTCCTTCAGAAGTAAAATATACAGCGCAAATCTTAAAACAGGCAGACAGTCTTAAGACATTTGCTTTTCAGTGTTTTTCTGACAGCCTGGATTAAGCTTAAGGTAGCCACACCGGCAGGTAGTAAAGTGGAAGGACCTCTTTGACACACCTATCCTATTTATACTGTTGTCAGCTTGAACTATAAATATTTATAATACCTCTTTTCATTGTTCTTCTGCCAGATTGCGTGCTGTAATGTTTTGTCATTTTGGAAGAGAACAGTTCCAGATTTTGTGTTTATAAAGCATTAGTACAGCAGACGTTTGGCAGTCATGTCTTATTGACTAATCAAGTCAGTCTCATTGCTTTGTTCAGCTCCATGAGTTAAAGGGTTCGGTGCCATTTGTGTTAAAAATGCCATGTTTTCATCTGTGTGACTGTTGTGTGCTTTCTGTCTGTCCACGTCCTTCTGTGAACTGTGTGTCTAGTTTACTTTCATTATGGTTTGTAATTCATGCTGTGATTTAAAATACGCTTTCATATGTTGTTTGGACATATTTATGACTCCTTTGTAACACTAACAAAGAAAGAAAGCATATCTCCTTTAGAGATGCACAAAATTGGTAGAATTTTACAATGCAGAACAACTCCCACCCTTCGGATAGTTGGCTTTACACACATTACAAGTTGCTGTCTTGCTCTTCCATGTTTTGACTCTAAAATATCTCCAAACAGAGGACGTGTTGAGTTAGCTGTTTCTTGCTCACTCTGTCTCATATTACAGCGGATGGATGGTCCAGCACAAGTTCGCTTGTACGTCTAAGAATTTGGGTAAATAATATGAGGGCTACTACTAGTACTAGTAATTTGTAACATTTCGGCTATAGGCTTAAAATGGCATTATTACATATTTATGATTCATAAAACCAGGCTAATCAGGCTATATATCTGGATTGGTCACTGATTGATGATGTTCGTCTGATATCTATCTGTAATGTGAATTAGGTCAGTATCTATACCAATATTGGATCATATTGGTCCCAACTCTAATCTCTCTAGATACTCATATGAGAGAATGAAATAACCATGAATGAAAGAAAATCTGTTGTGGTACCAAAGACTAGATGAAGATGAATTCTGTCCTCTAGCGGGGCAACATGAGCTTGAGGAAGCAACATTAAGTTAACCTAAACACTCACCATTAAGCTGTGTTTATTTGTCAACTTATCTGCTGTTTGCTTTAAAAGTGATCATGGGTTGTCTGTCTTCTGAGCAGTTTTAGAGCATCCACAGTTACAGCTTGCAGCATATGCTCATATGCAGTGAGTTCAGCAGCAGAATAACCTTTGTTTCCTTTTATCTCTTTGATTGGCATGCTGAGAAAAGAACAAGGGCTGCAGCAGATTTTTCTGGGCCTTCATCTGTCAGACAAGTGCAAGGACTTGTGTAATCTCAAAACGAACACATGTCCATTTCTCTCCCATCAGTCTGTGTAAATTAGACGCCAGTCATGATAATGGAAACCTAACTCCGTCTGTGTACTTTGGTATCTCGCCCTGCTCAGTCAGCGTAGTATGACCTCCAAGCTTTTCTTGTAGACATCTCAGTGGTACTCTGCAACATTTCACATTACTGCAGCATAGTTTGAAGGGAGGTTTTGCATATATTAGTCTGCCAGTCTCCTCCATAAATCCATTCAGCTCTGACGCTGTGTGGCCATCATTTAGTGATCGTTTGTCTCCTGACATCTCACTCTGCCTTATTTGCCTTCATCTTGCGTTTGTTTTGGTTGTTGACAGTTGTTTTATGCTCATAGCTGACAGCTGTTTGAGAAGAATATTAAGCAGGGAAAACTGATGGACTGCAGAATATTGCAAGTGAACACGATAAAAGGTAACCAATCTTAAAATTAACTGTCTCTTTTTTTTCCCATCTTCCGTCTCTCTCTCTCTCTCTCTCTCTCTCTCTCTCTCTCTCTCTCTCTCTCTGTCTCTGTCTCTGTCTCTCTCCCTGTCCAGGTATTCAAGCTGAAGGCGGTCCAGCTAGCCGAGAAGCTGCTTCCTGCCTTTAACACCCCCACAGGAATCCCTTGGGCCATGGTTAACCTTAAGAGGTCAGTGACACTGCAACTGAAAACCACCCCCTTGTCCAGTAGCTAGCCTGAGATGAATATAAAGTGAGATGTTCCACTCGGTATCACTAACAGTTGACCGAGCAGCCTGAAACAAACTGGTGTGACTGACAGGTTGCACTATGGTCATTTTCGCTTTTTTTTCCTTCTTACTCTTTCTTCTATAAAAGAGAAATGTTTCACTGTATTCGATCAATATGTAAACCTGCAATAATTGGTTTTATTTACTCAGTTATTACTTACCAAAATGCATTGTGTATATCCTGGAGGTCCAACAAATGTCTTCAGTGATTATTCCTTCTAAAACATTTGCCTAATTTAGGCGAGGTATTTCAGATCCAGCATTGTTTACATCCATATTTACCACACACAGCTTCTTCTTGTCTGCCTTTACTGTCCTTTTCTGTTGTTTTTTTGTTTTTGCTACAGCCACCTGTAGATCAGTAGAACAGTCTGAAGCCACTGGCAGGACTGTGTATCATTGTGTAGTATTATTATTATTATTATTATTATTATTATTATTATTATGACATAATTTGGACACATTGTCTTATAACCAATGTTGCTGCACTTTAAACTGGAAAAACTGAAAATGCCTGTGTGCGTGTGAGAGAGGAAGGTTTTGAGTCTTCAGGATAGTTTTTGGAACCTATGTGAACAGGCAACAAAAAGAAGTGTTAAATTCAACTTTTAGAAACCTGTAGTCGCCCTGTTAGCCTGCAGCTTGTAACAGTGCTCTACTTTACTGTAGTAGCCTTGGCCGGAAGTGTAACATTACCAAAACATTTCCCTATCCTTGTTTTGGTTCCTACTACTTTTTTTTTTTTTTGTACCTGTGAAGAGCGTTGGGAAGTGTGTGTGTGTCTTTTTGTGCCTCTGTGTGTGTCTTTTTGTCTCCCTCCATTCCCCACTGCTCTCTGTGTTATCAATTTACTTATTCATTGAATGAAACAATGAAATGAAATAAAATTGCTGTATCAACCTGCAGGCTACTTTGTTGCTAAGCACCCTGGCTTGGTGTGTGTGCGTGTGTGATCAGCATCCTGTTACATAAGTTAGCAGGTTGTTAAGGATGTGTGCTGTACAAGTGAGGGCCTCCTTTTCTCAAAGTAATTCTAATTTGTTAGAGAGCGGACAATTTGTGTTGTGTCGCCAACTAGACAAACACACAGCGGAGCATGTTCATACATCGCAGATGTCCCGAAGAGTAATTGTACACTCAGGAATTTAATCTGAACAGAAAACACACACAAGTGACACGTCTCTCTCTTCTTCCACTTGATCAGACAAATAAGGTGCCTCACACACACGCTTCCTCTTCACACACAGGCACACACCCACCAGTTGCAACCTAGTATGCACTCATGCAAAATTGAAGCTGTTCAAGTAACTACTGTGTCAAATACCTGTCATGTATAAATGTCATTTTAAACTCCTGAACATATAGCGGACCTGTTGCTCAGGCTGCAATCAATCCAACTCCAACACTGCCGTGTGTCACTAGACTGTAATATATATTATCGGGTTTGGTGGTTTTGAAAAGATGTCCAATTGCAACAGTATCTTACTATGACATGTAAATCCTTGTTCAAACCTTATTATATACAGAGATTTTCTACATTGTCTACCAGATAATGGATGACTCAAAGTTATGTTCAAGATTACTGCATTTGATCATGCTTCTTCATTTCACTTTTGTCTACATTTTATACACTTTTTTAAAATGTATTTTTACATTTTTAGCCTTGCACCTCTCAAAATCATGGATCCACCATAATTATTGGGCCAATAAATTATGGGAAATTTAGATTACTATGTATTATTCCTATAATTAAATTGTAACGGATAAATTATGGAATATTAAATCATCCATCTTTGCTCACTACATCTTAGCCTTCCTTACCTTAGGCGTGCATAGACTACAGGTTATGAACTTCTTTCTCTTCTCTTTACCTCTCTCCACCCCTCCCACCTCCCCCTCTTCCAGCGGTGTTGGTCGTAACTGGGGTTGGGCGTCAGCGGGCAGCAGCATCCTGGCTGAGTTTGGGACTCTCCACATGGAGTTTGTTCACCTCACCTACCTTACAGGAAACCCTGCCTACTACCAGAAGGTACAAGTAACATTGTCTATATGTGTGCGTTGGGACTGGATGTGCTTACAATTGCAGTATTGCTGCTTGTCTGCATGTTTTCTTTGCTTTGCAATATCTAGACGTGGATTAAAACTTCCACTGTGTGTTGTGTTGATCACAGGTGATGCACATCCGGAAGCTGCTGGCCAAAATGGACAGACCCAACGGGCTCTACCCAAACTACCTGAATCCCCGTACGGGCCGCTGGGGCCAACGTAAGTACATCTTTTGGTTCAGAGAGCAGAAAACAGTAGGGTTGGCATCAAAATATTTTATTAGCAGTTGCTTAGGCATTAAATCACTGCTTCACATCAAGGGGTTGATACAAATGCGTACTAATATGTACTTTTATGTGCTTTTGTGGTTACAAGGACCTTTTCAAATATTTTAAAGGAAAAAAATGTAATTCAGTTTATTTTTATTTATTTATTTTTTCAACATTTAATTTACACCAACACTGTGTAAGATTTGGGTCGCTCTCAGTCCGGGCAGCACGGCTAACTAACTGAGCAAGCTTGCATCAGAATTATTTATTTTTTAACTTATTTTAAGGTAGAAAAGTTTAAAAAAAAAAAGTTTAATTTAAAGAATTCACCTGCATCGGTGATTTACAAGCAGCCAACTAGGAGAAGTGTCAAAATTGTCTTGTGAGTTTCAGATGATCATGTACTAGAAGTGCTATAAGGAGAAACAGGAGAAATCAACACTAAGTGAAGGAGAAAGGAGTAGAATGGATCTTCTTTAATGAGAACAAATTGAAGCGAGTAGAAGAAGATGGAAGAGGGGGAACACAGTATTCCCGGTATATTGATTACATTTTGGCAGCGTGTCCAGGGAAATTAACAGCTCACCGAGTGAACTTAGATGTGCAATGACACATCTCTGTTTTTTCTCTGAAACCCATCATTTTCGCTTAAAGTTAATTTTCGGCAAATATATAACTAAAGCTGGTGAGACGCCACGTGTTGGTTAGCTACAGCTACAGTACTTTAGTATTTTACTCAACTGAACATGATGATGGACAAACAACCAGTATAACTGAGGTCACAATGATGAAATAACCCTGACCCAACAATAATTGAAGTACAAACTTAACAAACATCTGTAAACCAGTGCAATTATTATGTTTGCAGACCAGAGGATAGGTTCACTTTTGTCTTGAAACAATATGCACATTTGAAGAGTTTTTGGTTGCTGTTATTGTTTTTCCTGTCTGAAGAGGGTCCTTCCCAATTTATTTTGACTATATCAGCAGCTGATTCTGTGAAAAATGCACTTTAAAGTTTATCTGGGCTTTAACAGTCTAGTTAGATACTTCAAGTTGGTTACAGCAAGAAAACTCTTTATATAAAAACACAAGAGGAATGTCTGTGCTAAAAAGAATGTTGACATTGGAACTAAAGCTGATATAATTAGTCAATTAATCGATTTGTTTTTTCTAAGCAACAATGTCAAATATTCTCTGGTTTGAGCTCCTCCAGTGTTAGGATTTACAGATTTTTTTTCTTCAAGATATCCACTTGCCTCATATTAGCTTTGTCTGAAATCTTTGCACATGAGGAATATGGATTTTATCCCCCATTTCTTACTTTGGTACTGTGTTAAGAGGGAATCTCTTGATGGCCAGTAAGGACAGGAGGAACAATAAAATCAACAAAAAACTGTTTCAATGTACAGATGGGCATGTGAAGATTGTATTAAGAGAGCCTTTTAAACCTAGAACCTTTTATACCACAGTGTAATTGTATGTGTTAAATGAGTAGAATTCTGAATACAGTAGGGTCTTTAAACGCCGGGGGTTTGCTTACATGAGTCCACCGATGTCAGTCAGTTCCATTCATCTTCCATACATTTATTCAGAATAATCTACACTTTCTTTCTTACGTGCAGTCTGTATGTTTGCACTCTTCCTCTAACAATACTTGGGATATTTCAGCATTCGTAACAGAATATTAAATATTCCTTGTTGTTTATTTGTCAACATTTCAGTAGGGAGAGTTTTGAACCTGAGGAGGCTTTTAATAGCAACTGAGATGTATGATGACAGATATGTAGAGGTTTGTGGTTTGTTAACATTCCAACAGAATATTAAAACATTGTGGATATTAAAATATTCATTTTTGTGTGCACGCTTGCCTTACAAGTATTTTCTTTAAACTGAACGCTGTGCTCGGGTTTACTCTTTAGTTCAGCAAAAGGAAATGAAAAGATGAAATCTGTTTAAAATTGAATATATGGTGTTGTTTTCATTTGTCCAGTGGAATGAGCTGCTACGTAAGAGAGTGCCATATTAAGTCCATTCAATTTCACAACACTCACAAATAAATGGGAAATACAGAGGAGAAAACAAAACAGATGATGGTACCACTCTTAAAGCAATATAGTGTTGTTGTTTTTTTAACAACCACTGTGGCCTAGTGAGATGAAATCTCAGTTTTATTTGTTTTACTTGTCGACAAAACAAATGGAGAGCACTCATGGATGGATGGATAAATGGAGGGGCTCATTAATGGATGGATATGTGGCTTGGCAGTCAGACTGATGTACTTGTAAGTGCACAGACTTTGGGCCAAAAGCAGGGGAAAATAAATGGACGGAATATGGAGGGAGGGCGGATTGACTGATGGATGGATGAGTACATTAACAGATAGATGGTTAGCTGGCGAGCTGCATGACTGGGCAGGTGGTGACGGATGTTTTATGTTTGTTTCTCTGTATGTGTGCAAGTCTTTCTTTCTCTATATATTTGAGTCATAAAAATACAGTGTGCATATGCGCCCGTGTTTGTTTGTTTTTGTCAGTGTGTGTCTCTGCATGTGTCTCTGTGCACATACACCATAACACTTTAGATATCTATTGATCTACTTGTTTGTTACTGTGTATATGTGTGTTGTGGTCTTAATCCTGGACACATTAATTAGCTGCTAGTCCACCTTGTTGCCTTAACTTGCTCAGTTGATTACTGCAAAGCAGCTGGTTTAATTAAAGCTTGTACACTCCAAGACCAGCTTGACCTGCTGTAGTGCCCCCTGAGCACTGCACACAGGGGTTGCATGATATAGTTAAAAGGATGGGGGGGGGGGGAATGTAATTAATGAATGTAGAAATCGAAGGGCCTTTTTTTTTCTTCATTTCACTACAGTTCTAGTTTATCCATTCAGCTACTCAAGTTAATCATGTCCAGTCATGCGACTACTGTACCCTTGTCCACACATTATTTGTAGGTGTCTGTAGCTGACCGTCATTTTGCAGTGCATTCTGGGGAAGAACATATTAACTTTTAGAAAGAGAAAACGTTGACACTACACTACCAGCAGCATAAATTTCAGAATCCTCAGCTGCATCAACCAACACACAGATACATAATTAAAAGGCTGAGAGCTGGGTAGTTGGTGTGCTTGTCAGTTTCTCTAAGGGTCTTCACATCGTCTTCAGGCAAAGCAACATCCAAAGCACTCCATGTAGTCTTGCTGTTGCTTTTTCAGTCTTCAATTTCTATTACTGCAGCAGAACAAAGATGTCACCTTGATTTTTTGAGGATTACTTTCAGACAATACAAGCACTATGTAAGTAGTCCGATTGTTGAACAGTCAAGGTCCTTTTTTGTTTCTTGTGCTCTCTACATCTTTTGCATGTAGTCACAAAGTCAGTCTAACTGAAATGAATTGAATTCTCCTCACTTTTTGTAAAGTATAATGATACTGCACCTATTGTCCACATTTTTCAAAAGAGGATAAAAACTTTCTTTTCTTTTTTTGGACATATTTTTGAAAACTAAGTGTGTATATATATATATATATATATATATATATGAATATGTCATAGCCCTGTATAGCCTACAAACGTACACATTTTTTTAACAACCCCATATAAGGTTGGTAGCAGGAAGTACCATTAGTGTTATAAGTGATTCAACATCTGGGAGGACCCATAGTGCTGTAAAGTTTCTGTTCCACTCAGAAAGTGGAAGCTAGTTAACCTGGCTTGCTAACTTTACTACAGCACTAGATGCTACTTTTTAATCATTTTATTTGAACAACTGCTGAGTCGAAGGGAGTGTTCAACATCAGACTCCTAGCATAATAACTGACTGTTTCTAGCTTTGGATTTGAAGTTGTATTCCAAACTATAATTTGGTGCATACCCATATTGAATCAGAGTCCCCTGGAGAAGTTAGGGGATAGTATCATGGCAGTAAAATTTATGAAATCTAAATTTCATCTTTTTGGTAATGACAGTTTTGACCAAATAAGAACCCAGATTAAAACAACAACACACAAACAGCAAGGATTTACTATATATATTGAGTTCTTGAATTAAGGTTAACTTCAGTTTGACTTCACTGTTTGAATCAGGGTAGTTTTACATGTTCACTGTTGGGTAAGTGGAAGAAGCTTCAAACCAAGAAAGACAAAAAATCCATATATCACTTGTCTTGTTAAACATGTTAATTACACATCAATAAAGCAACAACAAAGACCCTCTATGGTCGCTGCTCAGCCCGCTATCATGTCATGATATCATTCACAGATTCAGGAAGGCAGAAAATTACAGTCTGTTAAAAGTCTCTTTTCAGATAAACACACAGTGTTTGAAACGTGTTGTTGTGGGAGCGTGTTTATCATTTGCATGTTTTTGCACACCTGTAGCTGCCGCAGAATCAAGCAGGTACACGCCACATCCATTAAAATTCATTACAGGACCATTTAAACTGAGCTTTCAGGACTGAAGAGAGGCAGCACAGCTGTCTCACATTAGATTTATGTGCGCTGGTATCTGGGCACAAAATGAACTCAAACCACCAGCCAAAATCTGCCTGCACCTGTAGTGTTTCTCTACTGTATCGGCCGCTGTGGCAAGTAAACAACCACATTTTGGAAATTTTATTTTCTTAAACAGTCTAATTGGTTTGTAATATTGAGAGTACATTGTTTTCAAGTAACAGTCTTGCTTCTGGTGTGTGTGTTTGAATTATGAACATTTGAGTTGTGAGTAGTTGTTAGGTATTGGATGAGAAATGTATGTGAATGTGTGCCTGTGTTTGAGACAATGTGTGAAGTGTTTGAAGGTTGGGAGCATGTGTCGAGAGTGTGTGCAAATGTTTCACTGTGTATGAATTGGTGTGTGTCCCTTATTCTGCAGTGTAGGTGTGCAGACAGTAGTTAAGGCAGACTAATGAGGAATGAGGCTGAGCTCCTCTGTCTTAATGAGATCCTGCTGTGACTGACAGCCTTATTACCACACACTCCTCTCTTACTATAACACCGTGCTGCCTACACACACACACACACACACACACACACACACACACACACACACACCACCCACTCCCTCTTTTTAACCTATCCACCGGCACTCTTCTTTGCTCACACACACAGAGCAGTCTGTCAAACACTCTTTTCTTCATCACTGTATTTCCAGAAGAATTAATTATTACTGAAACAGAAACAAATATGAATTGTCTAGCAAAGGTTCAACTACAGTTTTTTCCTACAGTCTGCAAACAACAGGCATTTAGGCACAAACATACTGTACAGCAGCCTGATAATGAGACTTTCTTTTTGGTTTCACTGCATTATTCAGATGTTGTGACAGTCTTATGTGCAACTGTTTCCTGTTTAGGAGTTACTGTTATTTTGTCCGTTTTTAAGTAGTTATTTCTGTCAGTTGACTTAAAACAACTTGTATACAGTAGTTGTGTTGATAACTTTTCTACTGGCATTTTTCTGCCTCTGGCACAGGAAAATGATGTCCACATTCTTAATCCTGTCTACAAAGCTTTGTTTGGCTCAGTTAATGCCAACCGGGAAAACAGCCATCAATGAGTACAACACCAGACCAGAGTTGTTTTTGCTTTGTTTTTTTTTTTCTTTTCTCTCCACTGAGTTTGAATCAATTCTTCATCACAGTAGAAAATAACATTTTGTTTTGGCCATATTGGCTGTTAATTAACATTTATTTTACAGAACCAGTGTGTAGTGGTGAGGTTGCTGATTGCAACCAACTGAATCCAGCTTACAGCCTTCCAAGCATGAAGGAGAAACGACGGTGGCCGTGAAACTTGGCCCTATCTGGAACTACTAGATATTATACAGATAGTGCACAGAAACTAATTGTACTTTTGCACCTGTTAGCATACACAAAAGTTATTAGTATTACCTCAGGAGCCCTTGCCTGTGACCTGTGTTTTAAGTCAGAGTGTGTTTGAAGCTTTGTGAAGATGTCTCCCTGTGTACATGTATCTTTCTGTCTGTGGTTTATTGTGTGTTTGAAGCCGCCTATTCAGCAGACCCTGCCTTTGATTGACAGACGCTCCCTGCATGACCCTGATCCTTTGATTGGCAGAAAAATGATGGAGATGAGAGAAGTTGGGGGAGCGTGTGGGGGTGGTTGCTAGGTTGAAAGAGTGTGGGCGGTGATTGTGAAACAGGGAATGGTAGAAGGTTAAGGGAAAAATATAAAAAAGATTAGACAGAACTTGAATGAGTTTCTCCAGTTTGTATTTTAATCTGCATCTCCTTGTTATTTTCCTCTTTACATTCAAAAACTGTCTTATGTGAAAGGGCACTTGGAGCTGTGGGTGGTGTATTATCTTTAGTCTGGTCGGATGTTGTGTTTTCCGATTCCTGCAATTTCACTCTTACTTTATTATTTGCGTGGTGCTCCCTGTGATACATCAGGGTCCATGTTTGAAACGAGTGGTTTTGCTTTCATGTGCCACCGCTTCAGATGCATTTTCACATATTTTATTGTAGAAATTAAACAATGGCTCATTCATTCAGGAGATTGGCAAACAGAAAGCGAGACAATGCAAGATTAGCACAGCAAGAAATGATTCAGAGCCTCTAAACTAGATAAGTGTCTGGTTATTTACAGGCTTTAGTATAAAAGTACTTGTGGACAGTGTGACAGCAGGACATTGATAACATGTATCAGTAGTAAGTGCCCAAACTTTGTGTGAGTATGTACATTTGAGTATGGCATGTATTGCATGCACACACAGGGTGCTTGTACTGATGTTGTTAAAGGTCTAGAAAACTACAGTATTTATAGCAAATGATATTATCATAGTAATAAGATCATAATTAAAAAATGTAACAGTTAACAACAGACTCTAGTGTATTGTAGATAAGTGATTTTCACTCACTACTAATGAATTATTCTGTGCATGAACAAAAAGCTATTGGACTTCCAATCCAAACCCAAAGAGAGAGGATCTCTGTCCTCTCCAAAACTCTCCTCAAGTAAGAGAGCACAGCAAAATAAGTTAACTTTTTAAACTTTAGTACATATGTCATCTACAGTGTGCAGTAACTTAACAAGTTTGTCCAGCCAAGCCCACTATGTTATCAGCTGAATTATGCTACACTTGGTAGTAATTCACCACTCTGCTAGGACTGGGTATTAACCATAGTAGCAGTGGTAATAATGGCACACAGCACAGTGCATCCATCGCTCCATCCATTTATTTTCTGCTGCTTATCTAGGTCTGTTAACAGTGGCAGCAGGTAAAATAAAGTAGCTCTGATGTATTTTATCCCAACCACATACCCCAGCGTTATCCTGGCTGCATGTGTTAGAATGCAATATGAAATCTATCCAGCTTTTCTGGGTTAGCCCTTGGGTCTCCTCCTAGTTGTACATGTCCAGAAAACCTCTGCATGGAAGGGTCAGAGAGGCATCCTGTTTAGATTTCTGAACCTAAGCAAAGTATCAGTGGTTCTACACTGATGTCTTTGGGGTTTCTGAGCTGCTCACCATTAACCTAAAGGTGAACCCAGACACTCCAGACTCAGATTAGAAACCTATGGGAGCTCCACAAACATGTTCTCTGTCTGCCAAGGTGGCCAAGGTGCTGTGCTGTTACAATCAGGATATGAAAACTACTAGATTCAAAAATACCCTCATGACACTTTCAGCACTTCCCCAACCAAGTACGATAATTTGAGGTGGAACAGAGCCACCAGAAGAGGGCTGGTGACCTGCCAGAGGCTGGCAGAGCGGAAGTACTCCCGATGAATACAAAATGCACGAGCATTCATCTAGGTCTGGTGCTTATTTTCCACCCAGGATGGAATAGTGGGAGTGCCGTATTTGGAGCAGGGGAATTATTGAAATAACATCGTCTATGCTATGTTGAAGAAAACATTTCATTTGTACACACGCATCATTAACTGCCAAATAAAAGCCAGAACACCCCAGAGAAAGTCTGGGTCATTGTAAGTGTTTCAGTGCAGCTGATGCTGTGTGAACACCTGCTACTGTTGTTAGGGATATCATAAAACATGTGCAAAGTACAACATCTATTGCAGCAAAATGCCAGTGCAGATACTAGACTTGCTATTGCTATCATAATTGAACTAGGGTCTCTTTGGTTGGCTCACCAACGGTAAATGATTTTATTCTACCAAATTGACGTATTTACATAACATTAGAATAACAGTTTCAAAAGGATTTCAGCTGGTTTATTAATTAATTTTGTTCCCAAATGTGTGTAAATCTGTACCAATCAACTCAACGTGCTTATTTAAATGAGTTTCATACACACTAGCGCTCAGCCACTTTATCTGTGTAAATATACAAACTTAGTCACCCATACATACATTCACAGAGATGAACACACACACACACACACACCATCACACTCAGGCCTCAGTCATGGTTTCAAGGTTGTTTGTGAGCTCTCTCTGTGACAAAATATGAATAATTCATTGCTTCTTCATCTTTTTTTTTTACCCGTCTTTGCGTATCCCTCCATTTACCTACGGGGATGTTAATCACATACAGAAAAGAATCCCTTCAGATGAGACACAAAGCAATCTGCTCAGATATCGAATATGATTACATAGAGCTGAGGAGGTAGTTATACGTAGAGGATGAGGAATATTCCGGCTTCACCCAATGAAGTCAGAGCTAACTAAACATATTTTCATCCAAGATTGCTTCCCCAACTATTCTTTCAAGATCATAAGAGGAGAGGCTGAAATTTGATTCCTAAAATTGGGTAATTTTACCATTTATTTACTAAATTTGTTCAGTTCAAAGTAACTCTGTGTATCTGCTCAACCTGTAAAAAGTCTGCACTACTGTATATGATTTTGTTGTAATTCGTTATAGCAAATAAAAAAATTGGGGGTTCAGAGGTAAAGCGGGTCGTCTACTAACATAATTTTTTCCGGTTCAATCCCCCGCTGCTCTCTCTGCATGTTGAAGTGTCCTTGAGCAAGACACCAAACCCCAAATTGCTCCCGATGCTGCACATCGGTGTATGAGTGTGTATGAATGATAGTTTCCTTCTGGTGGCCTTTGCAGCACGCGTTGAAGTGTGTGAATGGGGTGAGTGTGGCATGTAGTGTACAGTGCATTGAGTGGTTGAAAGACTAGAAAGGCGCTATATAAGTACAGTCCATTTACCATTTAAAAGAAAATACCATTATAAAGTATACTTGCAATTTCAATAATCAGAAAAGTTAATTTACATTATCTTTGATTTGTACTGCTGTTACAGTATACTCTCTCAAATCTTGCTCAATGTTTTTTATTTGCTATTATAGTAAATAATGTTTTATAGGGCAGTGAAATTGCACCTGAAATAGACCAAAGTGCCAAAAATAATTAGATAAAGTAGGCTCAAAACTCCCTCTAGAGAAAATAAGTTATTTTCTTAGTCTGATCAGAGTGAGTGCTGGCTGCATACCCATCCTCTCTACGTGGTGTCCAGCAAATTAGGACAGCCATGAAAGCTGTGTAAACTTTCATGAGGGCGATTGGGGACGTTGAAATGTGAGCACATCAGGGAAAGGGTAAACAAACGGAAAATGAGAGGAAACGTGCTGCCAATTTACTGTGGGCGTAAAGAAGAAAAGCCACCCAGGGCCTCGATAGATGCTTTTGATGCCATATGTTGCGCTCTGCCTAGGACTTTCTTTCTAGATTTCTCATTTGTCCATATCTTCCATGTTTTTCCTCTTTCTCTTTGTCTGTCACACTCTGTCCACTTCGTGTCCCTCCACTCCACTCTGTTCAACTCTTATTCTTGCCTCCCTCTCTTCAGATCACACCTCAGTTGGAGGACTTGGGGACAGTTTTTACGAGTATCTGCTGAAGGCATGGCTCATGTCAGACAAGACAGATACAGAAGCCCGCAAGACCTATGACGACGCCATCGAGGTAAAGTGCAGACATACTAGCTGCTAACTGTCAGTGTGCATAATCTGAAGAATCTATGCAAATATGATTATTATTATGAAGATTTTGAACATGAAATTCACTGCCATTAGATGTTGCACTAGAGCACCAGCATCTCAGACAAATGAAAATCACAAAAACTGTCTTTGTTAGTCTCGCCACAGTTCTTCCAACAATCACCATTGGTGGTTCAGTTAAAATAAACCCTTAATTCACAGAGTTAGATGTGTAAATATTTGCGAACTGGGCTGCAATCTTTGGGGAAACAAAAGGACAAAAATAGATAAATACATAAAACCAGACACATCTAGTGTCTTTGAACTGCATAGCCACAAAGCCACTACTTTTCAACTATCAGCAAGTACCAGCTCTAACTATAATTGTTATCCTTTTTTAATAACCAGCAATGATTTTGAAAACAATAACCTCACTCTCTGCCCATCTTTACAAAAAAAAAGTAGTTTTCTTCTTCTACTTCTTCTTTGGAGTTAGCAGCAAGCAGATGTTAGTGGTCTATGGCTGATGAAGTTGTCTGTCAGTCATTAAGAGTGTCAGAGAGTGAGCCGAACAGATGCTACAGAGTGAAGGAGGTGGGATGTGGCTGGATTGTAAATTGTGCACTCACCACCCTGTTCTGCTTTCTCCTGTGTGACCCTCCCCACCCTCATACACATGCACTCAATGTCAATGCCACATTAACACAACTTAACCCCGTTTATACATACACACACATTCACACTTCACTTCTGACCACATACCCTCAAATGTCCACATTTCCACCCAATCACATCCTCACCATTTCAATCACTATCTGCATACACACACACACACACACTCCCTTTCTCCAGGCCATCGAGCGCCACCTGATACGCAAATCCAACGGCGGTCTGACATTCATTGGTGAGTGGAAGAATGGCCACCTGGAGAGGAAGATGGGCCACCTGGCGTGCTTTGCCGGCGGCATGTTTGCTTTGGGCGCTGACGGCTCACCCGACGACAAGGCCGGACACTACCTGCAGCTGGGAGCCGAGATTGCACACACCTGCCACGAGTCCTACGACAGGACGGGTGAGGAGGGCAAGGAGGGACTGCGTACACAAACAAATGTGTACTGATAGTATGACTAGAACTGGCATTATGCCACATCTGTAAAGTAATTTGTTTATATTATTTTACATTTGATTACAATGCGTGTTTGAAACATTTAAGCCATGATAGCCACTCATCATTGCTATCATGTTGAGTAATTGCACACCTATGACCTCAAAATAAGCTAGTCGAACCAGACTTTAATTTTTATTTGACTCAAACAAAACAAAAAAAAAACAGACAGAGGATCAGGAAACAGGAAAAGGATCACACTGACTAAAACACTTAATTACCTAAAGGACAATAACTTCTCTGTGGAATGGTGGTATTTTTTAGAGACTGGTAGATCAACTGGTCACGTTTTTTAGCAGGTATTACATTTTCAGTTGCTGGAAGTGTAAACGTATTATCACCATTCAAAGGAGACCTTTCAAAATACCTGCTTGGAATGTTTTCCAGAGAGGATCAATAGTTGTCAGCAAAGGAACACCAGTGTGTGATCTTGCATCATGATTGTATGTATAAGTCTGTGTGCTTGTGCGTGCGTGTGTATAAGTGTAGTCAGAAGTCGTGAGGTTGCTCTGAGAAAGAGGAGAGGTTGCCGTGGCAACAAATGAAGATGGAGAGGGAGGAGAGGGAGGGCAGCAAGTTTGATAGAAACGGTCAGGCTGATAATATTTATTTTCTCTCTTCTGTTTTCCTCTCTTAATCATTCTCTTGCATTTCCCTTCCTTTGTCTCTCCAATCCCTCCATTATTATGTATAATATTTTTCTTCTCTCCCTCTATCCCTCTTGTTTTTCTTGTTGCCTCCCTTTTATTTATTTACTTTTCTCTACCTCCACCTTTCTCTTCTCCCTTCAAGTGTTGAAGCTCGGCCCGGAGGCCTTCAAGTTCGACAGTGGCCTTGAGGCGGTGGCCGTACGGCAGAATGAGAAGTACTACATCCTGCGGCCAGAGGTCATCGAGACCTACTGGTACATGTGGAGGTTCACCCATGATCCCAAATATCGGCAGTGGGGCTGGGAGGCAGCGCAGGTAAATAACATATATTAATTCTAAAACTACCAAAGCGTGATTTAGGCAATACATTTAAATATAGGCTTTACTAAGTGACAGTCTGCTGTTATGATGTAGTTCAGTTTCACAAAATTGGTATTTTTTACTTCTTTAACCATGTTGTTAAAGGACCAGTGTGTAGGATCGTGGCATTCCTAGCGGTGAAGTTGCAGATTGCAACCAACTGAATACTGCATGCCTTCCTAGCATGTAGGAGAAACTACGGTGGCCACAAAACTCATGAAAACTGTTAAAGGCCCTATCTAGAGCCAATGTTTGGTTTGTCCATTTTGGGCTACTGTAGAAAAATGGCAGCCTCAAACCCACTCCCTCCATAGAAAAAAATGTGTCTTTTCTAAAATAACAAAAAATAAATACAAATAAAAATAAACTCCACTTTGGTAGATGTACCAAAGTTTTTAAAGGACCAGTGAGGTCCAAAGCAGAGAGCACATTTGTGATGATAAATGGGGTTCAGCTTTGGGTAAATTTGGCACTGATCTTGGAGGCACTTAGTAATATGAGAACACTCAGTTTGCTTCGTGGCATGAGCTGATGCATTAAAAGTTATGCCAGAGATGAATGGCAGGTTCATGCTCTGCAACCCTCCCCTTTAGTATTTCTAGTTGTAGATGAAGACCATAGAAACCATTCACCTTGAACCATTCAACTTTTAAACATGGTCTCTTTATTTGATTTGGATGTTGTGGTTTGAGATCAGTAAATGTCAAAACTCCTGAATATGTTTTTAAAATATTGTTTTATCTGCTTTGTGTCCATTGGAAAGTGAAAGTATTTAAACAGTGAGCTGTTTTGTTGCAGTTGAAACTGTGATTTAAAATCGACTTTTGTGTCACTAGATGAGGTAAGGTTTGAGAAGGTCATACTCTGCATAATTAGTCGTCATTTGTCTCTCTGCTAAAAGCATGTCATAGTAAAATAAAGAGCTGTTTTCATGCCATTTCCCCTGTGCCTATGACAACTTGTGGCAGGAAGTTGTTTTAAGCCTCGAGTAGTGGTCTCAACCAGCTCCAGACAGCAAAATGAAGGTTGATGACCTTACAGTACGTATCGCACATATAGATTTCTTTCTGTAACAATCACATGCAATGTATAGAATCACTTTTGCTACATGTCTGTGTGTTTCCATGTGTTGGAAACATGTGCTCGTAGGTGGATGTGGGAATGTCAGTGACTCTTTCAGGTGTTATTAGTTATTTATTCCTCCTTTTGTGTTTTGATATGAAAAGCTTTATGAAAGTAGAACAGAAATGAAAGCCCTCTCTATCCTTTTCACTCCCCTGCTCCACTCCTTCTGACAGAGGATTAAAGAGCTCGTCTTCTCCACTGCAGTCGATGTTTCTTCTCTGTCTAAATCTCAGCCGGCCTGCTCGTCATCCTTTTTTTTTTCCTCTCTCTCTCTCTCTGACTCTTTTCATACTCTCCTTTTTCCCTCTCTCCTGCCAATCTTCTTGTCACCTTTTTTCCTCCACTTGTAAGCAGTGAAACTACTTCTCTTTGTTTTTCTGAGTGGGAGTAAGTGCGTTCGCGCCCATGTGCCAAGCAAATACATTGGCAAGTGCGTTTATGCTGTGTGATTGCACCCAGTTTGAGTGACACTAAAGAGAGCTGGTGCTGAAGGGCTCATCTTTGCCTCTATTGCATTATTTAATATTGCATATATATGCATACTAATCCAGATTACAGAACCTATACTTTGTGCTGATCCTATTTAATTTAGCTGATCTATAGTTTCATGTCTGTTTAGCATATTGATATTTAAAAGTTACGAAGTTAAAGCAAAGTTTTTGAGATAGCATTTGAAATGAAAGAAAAAGGTGGTGTCTGACGTGCTGTCTCACTGGGTTTCCATTTAATATTGTTGTTTTGTATTTATGAATCAGGGAAAATACAGTTGAATGGAAAAGCAACCTTTATTTCCTGCAGATGTAGGTTGATGCAGGTTTTTTTGTTAAAAGTAAAATATATCACATCATAATTACACATTTTTGTACCATAATTGTTTTGGTTGTCCTTTATAAAGTCCAACATATAGTAAATACTATGCCCATGCATTGACACTAAGGAAACCAGTGTATGTTGTCTGGACCAAACATAATTTTTCATTTTTCAGCAATCAGTAACCCCCAAAGGCTCTGAATCTCTGGTTGTTATGAACTGAAATTCTCTCCAATTCACAGTCTGTTATGGATATGCATACTATCCCAATTCCATACTACATTTTACTTTGTTTTATTTTATTTTATTTTATTTTATTTTTATTCTATATACCAGGGACCAACGCACATTAATCCACATTGCAGTTTACACTTCAATGTAAATGTACCCGTGTTAATTGAATAAGCTAATATTCAGCCATAGTCCCTGGGCAGGTTATAACAAACTAGTGCCCAACAGCATCAGTACAGTGCTTCAACAAGTACTACAAGAACAATAAAATACAATATATTACATAATACATTACAAAAGTGACAGAGATATATAAAAACAGTGAGATTATGTAAAGTAAGATTACTGATGGTACTATACTGACGGTATACAGTGTGTACTATATGACAAACTATTCCATCTCTTAAAGTGTTCTTTTTTTAATGTCTGTATCATTTTATTCCTTTTCATTTTTCTTACTTGTTTCTTTCACACATGTATACACTAACTTTCTCACTCAACACATGAGGCTGTCTCCATGTTCACACGAATCTCACTGTCCAATTCTCTTCCTCTATTGGTCCCTTTATCCCACACATACACAAACATCTCACAGACACTTGAGATATTCTCTGTATGTTGCCTCAAAGCTCAGCTTCTCTCTCTCTCTCTCTCTGTCTCTCACACACACACACACACACACACACACACCTCCCTCTTTTCACAGCAGCCACTGGCCGCCTTTTATCTCAGAGTCATCGTGTCTGTGTCACTCGTGCGTTGTTGTTTGTGTATGCACTTTTGTGTGTGTGTGTGTGTGTGTGTGTGTGTGTGTGGAGAGAGAGAGAGAGAGAGAGAGAGAGAGAGAGAGAGAGAGAGAGAGAGAGAGAGAGAGAGAGAGAGAGAGAGAGAGAGAGAGAGAGAGAGAGAGAGAGAGAGAGAGAGAGAGAGAGAGAAGGTGAAGCCCAGCTGCTGTAATGTGTCCTCACTTAGTAGCTGTACACACACTGCTCCTCCTACAGGTAGACTTTCTATCAGATCAAAATATATAGCACAGATGGTCGTGGTGTGTGTCTGTGTGTGTGTCTCTGTCTCTGTGTGTGTGTGTGTGTGTGTGTGTACTGGGTATACTGTAAGCCAGTAAGAAGATTTGAGGTTCCCAGACTGCTGAGCATTTGTTTAAACGCAAATGTGACTCATGTTTAAATGTCTTTTTTTAGCATCCAGACATAATGAAGGATATACTCAGCTTGATATCGGTGTGTGTCTATGCTGCACAGGCCGTTGCGGGACACCGCAGTGTGGATCCAGAAGGGCAAATGCACGTTGGGCCGCAGCAGCCCATTAATAACAGGAATTACGGCCCAAACTCCTTGCGACGGAAATCTGCTGACAGCAAAATGGTCACTCGAGGACAGGATGGAGGGAGAAGACGTGTGTGTGTGTGTGTGTGTGTGTGTGTGTGTGTGTGTGTGTGTGTGTGTGTGTGTGTGTGTGTGTGTGTGTGTGTGTGTGTGTGTGTGTGTGTGTGTGTGTGTGTGTGTGTGTGTGTGTGTGTGTGTGTGTGTGTGTGTGTGTGTGTGTGTGTGTGAGAGAGAGAGAGACTGAAAGACAAGGACAGAGATAATGCTTTCAATTACATGCGTTAATAGTGAAAGTCGATAAGGTATGAGCAGGAGTGTAATGCAGCTAGAATTTTTATGCAGGCACCAATTTCACTGTAACAAGTCCTCATTGTAAATCAATAGAGCAAACAGGTAATGGTGTACTGTCACTATCACCAACTGGACTAATGAGGTATTGCCAACCTCGTGTGTGTAGATGGGGAGAGCACCTGCTCACAAATTAGACATGTTTAGTTGTAGTAAGTAGAGGATACACCCTTTTTTTTGTGGTTCCGCTGGCCCACTGATTTGCCACTCTTTGTTTCATAATCTGGATTAACTGGTTGTGATATTAGCAACAGTAAAGTAGCTGGCTGCCAGATCCTCAGAAATAAAAATCATCAGCAGGACAGCAGTTAAATGATTTATTAACGTGTAAACCTTGTTTTTATCTAATGGTGGTATTTTTGATATTGGAATGGAAATCAGCAAGAATAAGTCAAATAAATCATTGACATTTATCATTCATCAGAGATAGATAGAAATAGACATCTACGGTTAGTTATTTTATAGTTTTTGTTTATTTGCTTTCACGTCATAGTAACAGAGGTGACAGAGTTTCTTCTGACTAACAACACTGGATGCAACAGGCCATTAACAACTTGCTATTGTTTACTGTTGTTTACTCTGGAGGTGTTTGTGATTTGCAGCAAGGAAAGTGCATCAAACCTCTGAAGTGGTCCAGGCTCTGCTGTTATCTGACTGGCTGTCATCCATCTTTGTTGTTTTTGTAGTTGTTGTTGAAACACTGACATCACATCTGTTGTGTTTGGAGGATCGGAGATAAACCCTAGAAATCCAAAGTGAATGGACCGGGGGGGGGATTCCATCACAAGTCAAGCCACCTACAAAAGTGGCTTCAATCTGTAGACTAGACTGGACACTGTGCGTCTTTTAGTGCGATTTCAAGAAAATGTCTAGTGTAGAGTGTAGCTTAAAATCCATGCACGCACAGATTACAAATTCAAAAGCTTCAAAATTTCCTTAATCACAGACAGACAGTAAAAAGAAACGCTAAAAATAAAGGAGAACAAAAGGCATGTTTAGAAAGAAACATCTCACCGTTTCCAATCAGCTCTCATTTTGCCATTCTTTAGAAATCTGCAGACGAAGGTGCAAAGGCAGCCTGATTAGGAGATTGTAAAACGACCCCTGAGAGACTGCCACAGGCTCTGCCTCTCATAAAGGAAAACTTTTACATAACGCAGCAGCTCCCTCATATACAGCATTACATGAAAGAAATGTGTGTTCCCTCATTATGAAGCTGCTTCGGGTTGATGAGGGACGAAAAGAACATTTTAGAGAATAAAATGTAAATGCAGGGGAGGTAGGGCGAGGCATTTGTGCTAATCTTCTTTTCCTCCCATTTTCTACAGCTGCTGTTTCCTGTATGTGTCTCCCCAGGACTCGCTCTAATCTGTCACAAGCAAAGAAATTAATTATAGCATGCTTTTGAAAGCTTATTAAAATTGTGCTCTCCATCCTCCACCTTTTCTCTTTGCCCTTTTTCTTTTGCCTCTCCTTGTTTTTTTCTTCCATGTGATCCCTCTATCATTCTTGTACCTTATTATTTCCATCTTCCTACCTCACCTCTACCTTCCTTTTTCTTTTCTACCCCACCACTTGCACTATTTCTCTTTATCTTCTTTTCCTTTCTGTTCATCTTTTTTCTGTCTCCTTAACTCCTAACTTCTTCCACCTCCTCCTTCCCTTTTCCATCCATCCTCCGACTCTTATTCCTCTCTCTACCTTCTCTTCCCTCCCCCGTTATTTCCTTCCCTCTCCCCTTGTCTCCTCCAGGCTATTGATAAGTACTGCAGGGTGAGTGGAGGTTTCTCGGGGGTGAAGGACGTCTACTCCTCCAACCCGACCTACGATGACGTGCAGCAGAGCTTCTTCCTGGCTGAGACGCTCAAGTAAGCCACTAATACGTTGATTTACTAGCTCGATCTATCAGTCATCAGTACGTGTGTTGATTTAATTAAATACTTTCATGATTAATACAATGTTTTGGTGGGTTGCTTGGTTGAAAGGACTTGTCAGTGAAAAGTGATTGCAACAATTACTTAATGGTATTTTGTAGATTATTTTTCAGAATAAAGAATAATCTTTTGCAAACCTAAAGGTAATAGTATAGTCAGTTACAAACCTTCAACAAGCATCTTTCAAATGTTTCTTCTTCAGAAGCAAGACAACACAAAATCTACTTGGGTTTAAATGTCGTGATTACTGGTGGTACCAGCAAGTGCGGTTTAATACCACAGCAAACACTTGTTGAGCAGCTGCTTTGTCAGAAATACCACAGAAGCACAGTCAGTGTATCTGTTTACAGCATAAATACATTTAAATTGTTTTAACAAAGAAGTCAGTCAATAATTGGCCTTTTTCCATCACAACATGAGTAAGTGCAATCTGATTTCATGCTGCACACGGCACAAGTAGTTTTCCACACAACAGCAGTGCACAGTGGAAGGAGCTGGTTATGTTGCTGAGGTGTGCAGCTGGTCACCTGCAGCTTCGTTTTTTTACGTTTTTATTTTTATTACCTAACCACAGAACCCTTACTTTCCTTTAAGTGTTGCATGTCAACTGTACTCTTGTAGGGGTCATAATAAGTTAACACACTGCCATCTGTTGTTATTTCTTTGCCACAAAGTATTTTAAAGGCTGATGTAATGTAAAGGGCAGCTCTGATGTCTCTGGTACATCATCACCACTGATGGATGAAGGGAGTCTGAATGCAGACTTTGACCCAGAGGGTTAAGTGAAGCCTAATGTGGCTCTCTGATTCCCCCTGCTGGCAGTTTTTTAAATGTTATCCCCTCCCGGCAATACTGTACATGTAAAGTGGCCAGACACAATTCATGGTGCGCAGTTGTTAGTGTCTGTCAAACAGTGTGGCAGGTCAAAGATGAAGAAAACAGAGCAAACTGGGCTGTATTGGCTGCTCTGTGAGCCCTTGTGTTAGCAGGAAGCTACTTATCAGCCCTAAGTTTGTAACTTAAATGTGTCTGCAATGAACATTCACAAATCATCAGATACCAGTAAAACTAGTCTTTGATGCAGAATTCGTTAAAGGTCACCTGCCACATTGGCTGGTAACTTTCTGAGACGATGACATTTGAATGCCTCGGTTGGTGCAGCCTTTGGTGTCTATCTGTTCTCAGGCTTTGTCCCTGCTGGCTGCAAGCCAATCACATCAAAGCATTACAGCACTCTATGTTAAACAGGCTGCTGATTGGCTGCCAGTCACACCGATCTGCACAAAGATGTAGCATCCAAAACTTTCTGTTTTGTGGATTGTGTGTTAGATTATTATTTTTAATATGTGAAGCTTAATTACAGCTGTGTGTGTGTGTGTCAGCTTTATTTTAATGTTATTAGATTTTACAAACAATTCCAAACCAAGTGAATGTGTTAATAATATTTCATACACTCGAGTCTGTACAAAAATACAAACAGGTAGATGCTGGAAAAAATGAAAGGTATAGAAAATGAAAAATCACATTTCTTCTATATGTACGGTATAAGTATGTGATATACTGTGAAAAGCATTTATAGTTACAGAAAACATCAAATAACTTTTCTCACGGATGACGATTAGGTGCAAATGAAATCAAAACGACTGTGGAAACATCAATGCCCTGCTAGGCTGGTTGCTAAGGCAACACACAGTGTACAGGTAACAGGACCCCCAGAGCCATAAACTCTGTGTGACCAAGATGAGTCCTTAACGACCAGAAAATAGAGCCACTAAACTGTTTACCAAAGCAAGTAGTTTCATATACAGGCTGAAATTCACAGCCCTTTTCTTTTCTTTCTCTCTGTTAAAGATTTATAACGAAAACTGTAATAACTGTCCAACACTTCACTGAAGTTAGGAAGTCAGCTCCTGTCAACTCTGTTCAGACTAATGACTGTAAATCACACACTGAAGGATACAGCCAAGTGGAGCTCTGATCCCAATTTCAGGGGTGTCTGCAGGGTAATAAAAAGTCTAAAATCCAATAATTAGATGTTTAGGCCTTAAGATGTCTTAAAAATTGATTGTATTAATAAGGTAAGCTATACATGTATAAGGTTGCATTTTCAGTCTTTTAAATGTGTATTTGGGAGAAGTTTGTATTGATCATGCTGTAACAACTGCTAAACAAATCCGACATGGAACTAATGCCAATTTTCCTTCATATCCTGGAAGTGAAATTGGCCATAAATTGCATTCATAAAAAGGTTAAAAAGTCTTAAATTGAATCTGCAGAAACCCTGTTGTTTGGACCCGACAGCCAAACTGCTTCAAATGCAGAATCTAAACCAGGAAATAAAGATAAAAATGTAGGTAAACAAACACTAAGAAGCAATAAACAGCAATTGCTAAAATTCCTAAGAGAGTGTGGCAAGGTGACGTTCAATGTTGATATTTATTTAGCTGAGCCTTTAAGCTGACACTGTGTGCGGTACGTGCCAGTGATGTTTTTCACTTATTTCTTCTTCACCTTCCTTACCCAATCCCTCTCATCTTCACCCCCTTTTTCCTCCCTCCATCAACCAACATCCCCACCCCACACACATCCCTCCCGCCTACCACCCCACCCCACCCCACCCCACCACCCCCATCACCCCCATCAGGTATCTGTACTTGTTGTTCTCCAGCGACGACCTGATGCCATTGGAGAGTTGGGTCTTCAACACGGAGGCTCACCCACTACCTGTCCTCCACCTGGGCAACATCACCCTGCCTGGCAGTGAGCCAGCTCAGCGGTAGACAGACAGGCCCTCCTCCTCCACCACTGCAGCACCAGGGGGCGCCACCTGTCTGCCTGCCCTCCCAAAAACCCACCCACCAACACTGGACAAACTTACATTCAGCTCTACAGACTCTCAACTGCTTTTGGACTGCAGACATCAACCAGAGAAGACGGAGAGACAGACCACTGCAGCGTGGAGAAGACTTGGCCATTAGTTTCCCCTCTCTTCTTCTGCGTTTTACTCATTGACTCTCTCTGTCAATCTCTCCGTCTTCTTTGCTTAAATCAGAAAGACGGTGGGTTTGCTGCTCAGCCGCGCTACTGGCTTGAATTGACTCTTTTCTCTGAAGGACCGAAGCTCCAAAACCGGAGGCTTGATTAGGTTTTTTGTTTCTTTTTTTTTTTGTTTTGTTATTATTTTTAGTGTTTATTTGAGATTTGACCAAACTTTCCTCCAATACAGACTCTAGCTGAGGCACTGAGAGTGCAAATGGGGTTTTGTGAAGCATCACACAGTCAGTTTGACACTGCACTGATGGAAGTGTCATTTTTCCAGGCAGACAAACTTGAGGACTTTACAGGGTCTGTTGATGAGGTGTGGTTGTTTTTTTTTGTTTTTTTTTGTTTGGACAAATCGTTAATGGGGACACAGGGTTGAATCAAAGCCCTCCGCTTCTCCCTGACCCCCCCCCTCCCCCCCTCTTCCTGTTTAATCTTCATCAGACCGAACTTTGATCTGGAATTGTTAGCAGCTCGTCACATCATCAGTGCGAGGGCGGGCTGTGGCAACAGTCCCCATCTCCTCCTCTAACTCTCCCTTTTTCAGAAAAGTGGACTATTGTAAGTGGAACAGTAATTACACAGGGACTGCAGCAGGTCACCCCATCTTCACTACTCTCCACCTCAGCATCTTTCCAGTTCCCTCTTCCAGTTAGAGACGTTACCGGGCCACAACTTTTCCCCAAAAAACATTCTGCTGCTACTTGTTTGGATGCTGCTTTTTTTTTTTTTTTCTCTCTCCTTCACCTTTTTCTGATCACACCACTGGATATTTCCCCCAGCTTATCAACCCTTCTCTTATCTCTTCTTATTTCTCACCTTTTCATAAATCACTGCAAATAATTTTCAGGTCGTACATTGTGCGATGAAGCTAGAACCCAACCATGCTAATGTATGAGGTGTGTGTGTGTGTGTGTGTGTGTGTGTGTGTGTGTGTGTGTGTGTGTCTGTGTGTGTGTGTGTGTGTGTGTGTGTGTGTGTGTGGTTACCTCTGCTGTAAATCATTTATTTGTGCACTTTGTAAGGGAAGACTATAAAGAAGAGGAAAGTAGAGGTGTAGCACTGAACGAGCTGAATAAATGAAGACTTTCCCTGCTGAGCCCCCTTGACACATTTTCTCTCTTCAATATCACCCCATATCACCAGTTGGACCACTTAACATGAACTCATCACTGTGTTAAAATCCTCTGTGATTTTTCTTTACCACCATCCCTCTCTTGTATCCTACTTTATACCTTCTCTCCTCCCTTTTAACCTCTACCTCTCCTGTCCATAACAAAGTCTCTGAGGCCTTTAGTCTCAGGGTTCCCATATGACTTTGAAAAGTCTGAAACCTTAATTTCATTGTGTCCAACTTTTGGATAAATGTTAAAAATGTTTGGGAATTACAAAACTATTTTGATTAAAAGTGTGTAAATATTGTTTCCACACTTTCAGTATATTGTTGTAAGCTCCTCCTGTTTGTGTTAAAGCTGCAGTAGGTGACTTTCATAAAAACAAATTTCATTATTCATTAATTTCATTAATGCTGAAATTTTGAATTCAGTAGTGTATGAGACAGATAATCTGTGGAAAAAAGTTCCTCTGGCTCATTATAGCGCTGATAATGGCATTTGCATGAGTCTACCGGGCCTGGACAAAAACAACCAATCAGAGCCGAGAAAGATATGAAGACGTTTTGGGTTGGAAGCTTGAAGATTAGCTGATCATTGACTCTCATTCCCAGGGTCCCAGAGTGTATTTGACACCCTGGGAACGAGACTCAACAATATGTTTTTGTTCAGGCCCGGTGGATTCTTGCGACAACAATTAGGAGCACTAGGAGGAGCCAGAGGAAAGTGTACTACTGTCAGGATATAGTGAAAGTTTCAGCAACTATGAGAAGACATTTTTTTAAATAAAAGTTACCAACTGCGGCTTTAATTATTTAATTGAACAATAATGACCAGCTAGTGTACAGAGTGATCAGACTCCATTCATCATGTTGTCCAACTGCTAAATGCTGACATCATATCATCAATCAAACATCAGAATCTTGATATCTGTGAAGAAACTGAGGACATTTTTTGGTTGGTACCTTTACAGTTTGAAATGCACATCCTTTGCTGGGTCTCTCCTCTCGGTAAGAGTTTGATAGTAAGAATATTTGACTGGCTCTGTATGGTGTGCTCCATCAAGACCTTAGCCCTGCTGAGATAAGTCAAAGCCACCACACACTGCGCTGTCTGCTCAGTGACCAGCATGGTTCTGCCTCCAGTTATCGCTCCTGACACAACTCTCTCTGTTACATCCAAAGCAGCGTGAAGGATTTACTGCTCGAGTCGCTCAAGTAATGGATACAGATACAGCCTGTTCAAAATATATTAGGTTAGCAAACGACCAAAACAACAGTCCTCCCTGGTGATTTAAGAATTTACACATTTGTTCTTCTGAGACTCTCTAAAAGGCATTGGGCTAGATTTTTATACTAAAATCTACAATGATTTACTGCCCAAACTTAAGTTATGCTGGAGAAGAAAAGTAATCTGATTCCTGTTGACTTAGATGGCTGCTGATTCAGTTTGAACTCCACTTTAAAAGTGGAATTTTAATGTCAACACATTTTATTAAACACCAATATGGGAGTATACTGCAAGTGTTTCCCTGGTGTACAAGAGCCAGACCTGGAAAACTGTCAGCGGAGATTTAAAGGATGACAGCAACATCAGACACATGACCATTTAGATGCTGTACGGACTTAACCAGGACCTTTTCTGTGAGTCATGTTTGTTTGCGGAGGGGAGGACGGGATGTTGAGTGAAGGCAAATAATACATGAATGAAACCAACAATTTCCTTTTTAGAAGTGAGGTTTTCAGTCTGAAATCAGTTAAACCACTTTATGTTGTTGCTGTAACACCAATGTCAAGAACTACAATCCATTAACCAAATGCTTTGAATTTTTTATTTTCAAACTTCACTGATCCACCCTCCATAGTGGTAGGGATTCAACCATGAGTTTTTTTTATATCGTCTTATCGTCACTTAGTGTATAAAAACACAACAGGCTTAATGGTGGGCTCATTACTGTGTGTGTGTGTGTGTGTGTGTGTGTGTGTGTGTGTGTGTGTGTGTGTGTGTGTGTGTGTGTGTGTGTGTGTGTGTGTGTGTGTGTGTGTGTGTGTGTGTGTGTGTGTGTGTGTGTGTGTGTGTGTGTGTGTGTGTGTGTGTGTGTAGAGAGCGAAAGTGAGTGGCTGAAAGCGTTCTGACATTTTGTGAGCTCATAAATTAGCCTGCTGGCTGCCAGTTTGTGTGACAACAACCTCTGATGTGACTGCGTATCAACTGACTGGTTTAGGTAAAGAGAGGAAACTGAGCAGGGTTTCACTACTAAAGATGATTTTTTAATGCAGGCGTTGAAGCTAAAGAGTAGGAATTGCCCTAAACCAGAAGATTTCTTTGTTGTGTGTGTCTGTCTGTTTCTACTTTGATTTTTTTCAAGCCTTATTGTCAACTGTGACGCCTTGGCCAATACTGTGCTCTTTCACAATCTTTGCTTTGTGTTTTGTAACACATCATAACGATATAAATTCCTTCTTATTGTTTTTGTTTGCAAAAACATTGTCTGTCCTCTGACGTGCAGATAAATTGGAAATTGTGATGGAATAAACAACAAAGTTGACTTGATACCAGGCGACGTGGGCAAAAAATAACAGAAAGCAGCTTTAACATTTTGTTCACTGCCCATCCATATGTCTAAAAACGTATCAATATGCTGACTTACTAACAGCTTACTACATCCCCACATCCTCACTAAAATTGGCCCTGTTGGGCAGCAGGTCAGCTGCTCGTCTCTCAATAGAGCCATAACGTAGATGAAGGCAAAATTTGCCTACAGCTCTACTGCTTTCACAACACATGTGAAGCCGTTTTTACCTGTAGGTGATGATTAAAATCACTGATTATAAAAAAAAAAAAGGAAATCGGCAACAAGGATCAAATGGAGTGATATGGAAATTGTCAGCTTTAGTTGTTCCAATCTCGCTCTTGATCTTTGCCTCAAAATGCTTCTCAAGTGATTACAATATGTTGGCAGCCTAACACAAAGACATAGTAAATGGTAAGATTGAACTGATGAGGCTGGAGATATTCTTTTCTTGGCAACAAATCCCATGAAAAGACCAAAACTAACAATGAATGTATCCTATTAACAAGAAGTCTGTGTGTGTCCGACGCCTGATATGTCTTTCCCCCCTGTGCCATCGTTGTCCTGTTACTATTAAAAACACCACACTGTGGCTCTGGGTGGGATGTTCCTTCATTACCATGAACACACACACTAGTTTATTTTGACTGACACCCTCCTGCTGCCAGAAATACTCCCTAGAGCACTAAATGTGTATTAATCCGCATCTGAAAATAGTCCTCAACGAATGTACTGTTTACTCCTGTTTGAGTAACTTTTGATAAAAAACCCTACTTTTTAAAAATAAGACTACATGCTCTTGTACATGAGCTGTTTTTACATATTTTCTTCATTAGTAATGAATGGATGAATGAATGAGAGCCACAGAGAAGGGGAGGGAAGTCGGAAAGTACAGAGAGACGCATTGTTGGTTTTGGTCTTCATGGGATTGGGTGACAATTATACAGAATAGAATAAGAAATAAAAAAACTAGACATAAAATAATGTATATGAAATAAGCCTTATACTTGAAACGTGTTTGGAAATGGTTGTCAGATGATTTCATATGTAGGACCTGATTTGACAAACCAGCGTAGGTAGCAGTTATCAAAAAAAATATCAAGATGTTAGTTGGGTTTATGAAGGAAAATGTCTTTGACCACACTACTGGCCAACTTTCCCATCAATGTTGAGTTTATATTTAATCAGTTTAGGTTTGTGGTTTAAAGTTGAGGGGAACCTCTCAACTCTCCTCTGCAGGATCGATCAGTGTACATACAGGAAATATCTCTGCCCAGTCCCCCACTCAACACATTTCCCTCCCTCCATACATTTCTCTCCATCATCCATCCACTATCATCCTCACATTCAGTCCATTGATGCAGTACAGTCTTGACTGTCAGCCCCTACCCCCCCGTCTCTGACATCACACTGACATCAGGCTGACATCATTACCACCTATTTCTGATAAGGAGGAAGCCCAGGCGAAACCTGGGTGGCCATCGAGTCGCTGGGAGCGACTTTGATTTTGAAAATTGAGTGTTCTGTATTTGTATTTTTACTGAACTAAAAAAAAATACAATTAAAGTATCTGTAAATATGTTTAAAACTGAGACACAAATTCAATAAAGATGTTATGAAAAGTGATCAGAAATGAAGAGTATGTACTGTGTTTTGTATGTTTTTAACTTTATGGTTTGATGCTTTGTATGGCAGTTGGGCTCTGTTGCAACCTTAACAGTTGAGCATGAATCTGTTTTCTATGAAACTCTGAGCTTTGCTTTGAATCTTGTTTTGGTGGCAGATTTTAGTGCATTTAAGTTTAATTTTATATTATGTCCCATATATTTCAGTTTCCATGACCAAAAAAAAATGTGATTTTCCCCATTTGTATCTATTCATTGTTTTTGTTTTATCATTATCTCTTTATTGTTGAGATCAGACTGTTTTTAGCCATGGCATGGTGTAGGAATGGCAATGCCAGTCAGTTGGCTGGTTCATCTCTTTGGTCCAGACTGAATATCTCAATAACTGTTGGATGGATTGCCATGAGATTCAGCACAGACATTTATGATGATTTGTAATAAGCCAGGAGATCATCCAAGATCTCCTGGCTTATTAGAAGTGGTATTTAGATCAGAGTGCCGCTCTGCCGAAGCACAGCCTCACTGAGCTGCCAGCATGTCTATGGACTCTTAGCCCGGTAAAAGTATTCATTTAGCATTAATTGATTTATCTTTCGTTTTTAAAATTGAAAAGCGTTGATTGCCTGATTGACTGACAGCAGCAGCTCATCTGAGTCAAATAATGTAAACTTGCTTGAGGGGGGCCCTTTCTGTTCAGTTGCAGATTGTTCTGATTGGACAGATTTCAGTGACTGGAGCCAGAACCACGGTCCAGTTACTGAGGTCTGACTGAAACGGCTCAATTCAAACAATGTATCCTAAAAAGCACCAAAACTGTAAATTGAACAACCATTAAAACCAACTTAAAACATCTCAAACAAAAATAGATAGATAGATAGATAGATAGATAGATAGATAGATAGATACTTTATTTATCCCGAGGGAAATTCAACTGGTATATTAGAATGATATGACTTGTAGCACCATTCAGGCGTGTTTGAAAAAACAAATGTGTTCTGGTTTCTGCTGCTCAGCCTGCTGTCACATCCCTCCCAGCCTGCTGGCAGGGAGCCGCTGAACAGTCTGGACAAACACGCAGCAGCTTCTTCCAAGTTGGCAGCTCACATGCTAATAAGCACCTTTCTTTGTGGCAGCTTTTGTTTTTCATGCTCATGTTCATCACAATTCTCTGGTTCCCCCTTAACACACAATGTTGCAGCTTAAGTCAACACAAGGTATCATTTACTTTTGCACTCTGTAATTCGACTGAGGTATTGAAGTGCATCGAGGGAATTAACATTAGTTGTAAGGTTAATTTCTTTTCAGTTATTTTCCCGAGGATTCATCTGATTTGGCCTTTTTTAACATAAAATCTGATTATAGTCGATAGTGTACATAATGTTAAACTTACGGTTAAGCATTTTTATACCAAAAACAACAAACTTTCACTGTTTTTGTCTCCAGACTGGTGCTTTTATTGGGGTGAAACATGTCATCTCTTTAACACACAGTTACTTGCCACATAGGCTACAGATATTTTTCCCACATTTAGCTTTTGACCTGTTTATGGCGTTAAAAGCAAGCGGCATGAGCTGATGTGTGTGTGATAAAAGCTATAAAATATCAGCGTGATGTATCCGTTTAAACTCACTATTGTTGAGCTTAGTCATTTAGCACATGTGATATGCTGTAAATTAGTTGGCTTAAGGTCCATACTTCACAATACAGTGTAAGTGCTTTCCTTCCCTTGCCTGATAGAGGTCACAAATTTAAATTGACTTGGGGCCCCTGCTGGCATTGTCATCTCATAGGAGGGCCTGAGTACAGCCTCACAGAGCTGCTAGCATAACTTATAAAAATTTGAAAAACTCGATTTGGTACTGAAATGATGAATGGAGATCCAGAAATGACATTAAATATGTAAATTCAAACTGAATAATCTGAGATGGGAATTGAGAAGCTTCAGTGGGAAAGCTCAAAGTTAAAGTTTAATTTGGAAATGGAAAGGAACACAACTGTTTGTTCTGCTTTTTTGTTTTGTTTTCTATTTTCCTTTTTACATTTACTTTTCTCCATATGTCACTTGTATTCTGGAGTTTTATGTAAATGAGGTGGCATGGCTTATGGTCTGACACTGGTATCTTTGACCCACCCACATACTCTACCACTAATTCTGAAGAACTACAGTACCAGATCACTGATGACATCGGTTTTAAATAGGCAATGGCAAAAAAAATGAAATCCTACCAAAGTATTAGTCCTGTTTATTAAGGCAACAATAAATTATAATGTCATCATCATCATCAAAAAATCCAAGAATTTTATACTCCAATACACATTACTAGTATAAGAGGCTTCAGTTAGCACACTGACAGGCCTGTGGTGTGTTTCTCCACACTGAGCAGAGGCTGATTGAGGTAAATAAATGAACTTCCTCATTAATGAAAGCAAATATTGGGTTTGACAGGTGGTTCTGTCATGAATTGCTGCGAGCCTACATCCTGTAACTGTGAATGTATGTTTGTTCTGCTAGAACGTGTTAAATCATATTCATAGGAACATGAATGAAGAACGTAGATACCGCCGTTGGGATTTTTTCCCCCTCACAACCACCACCAAAAATGAAACCAAAGTGTCGTCTGTTTGTGACCGTTGGTTCCAACCAGGAACCCACAAACACCTGATATTAGATCAAATACCGTCTCTCTCTAGAGTTTTGAAGACACTTTGATCTGTGTGTGCTGTGGGCTGTTGGTTTCCTCTGTTTGAAGGTATGAGCATCAAATTTGAACAGTAAATCTTGTCTAGTCACTATGTTACAGACAGAGTTCTTATTCTCGGTCATTTTAATATCAGTGTTTATTGCCCCTCATCCTCCTGGTTTACTTTTGACTTTTAGATTTGATGAATCTTGCCCAATATGTCAAGGATCCCAGCCACTGCACAGGACATACCCTCTGTGCTCTCCTGCGGTTTCTCTGGAAGACGTGAGTTTTGTAGAATTTGCTGTCTCATCATGATGATCAGATATAAGGCAGTGCTTTTCCAGGTTCCATTCCTCACTCCTGATCCTAAACCCCCACACTGGTTTGCTCCCGCCCTCTAAATTCATCCTGTTCCTGGGCTTCACTGTAGAGAAGATTGTCAGTGTTTTTAAAAGCACTACAAATATGTCAGAGGCTGTAGCTCCAGTCAGATATAATATCATGTCAGAAACCAGAAACCAGAATTCAGTAGCCTTCTATGTGATCTTAAAGGACCACTGTGTAGGATTTAGTGACATCTAGCGATATAGTTTGTAACTAGAGATTGCAACTCTCTGGTTTCACCCTCCCCTTCCAAACGTTAAAGAGAAACTGTGGTGGCCACAAAACTCACACACAAAAAGCCCTTTCTAGAGCCAGCGTTTGTTTTGTCCATTCTGGGCTACTGTAGAAATGGCAGTTTAACAGAGTGGAATCCATGGAAGGCAACTTGCTCCCTCTGTAGTTAAAAAAAGCAAATTCGAAGGTGAAAACACAACAATTTTTTTCTGTTGATTATACGCTAATGAAAACACACCTATGAATACATTCCATTTCTGCCAATGGATCACATGGTCTTAAAAAAAGTCTTCAATTTAACTTGTGAACCCTGAAACAACCCTGATCAGTGATGCTGGATGTGGTCAGAGGTGAAACAGGCAGACGTTACTCAATTTCTGCTTCAAATATTTACTCAGTTTTACAAGTAGTACTTAATGGTTGGTTTGATTTATGAGAACATTCTTATTTTTTTTATATTTTTTTTTGGCCTTTATTTGATAGGGACAGCTGAGGGTAGACAGGAAAGGGGGGTAGAGAGAGGGGATGACACGCAGCAAAGGGCCGCAGGTCGGATTCTAACCCCCGAGCCGCTGCAGCAAGGACTCAGCCTCGGCACATGGGTCACCAGCTCTACCCACTGAGCTAACCGGGCGCCCGATGAGAACATTCTCAACATTGACGTATTAGGGACCGAGCCAGCGACCGCTGGAGGTCCCTATTGTTTTTGCTTGATTTCTTACCTATTATTTTTAGCCCACTTCGACTGCGTTTTTGCCCCCCTGAACATATACAAAAAGTCAATTTTATTTGGCAAAGTGGTCAGGCCTGGTGAAAAGTTTTATATTCTATGCGTCGTCAAGTACAGCCTCACAGAGCTGCTAGCATGCTCTGGACTTACAGTCAGTTTTAATGTTTCTTTTTTGCTTCAGTTGTGTTGAGTATGAGCTGTGGCCATGACTCCTTTGATTAGGTTTAAGTCCCAATTTATCAATTTATCGTTCCCCATCAGTAAATGGGCAAAGTTGCTGTTCCCAGCAAAACTGTAATGTTTTAGCATTCTGGGAGATAACTGTTCACCAAATTAATCATTTAACTTCAAACTGTTCCAGCCTGTGCCTGAAAAGATATTAGCCTGTCGGAGTTGAACATTTCCCAGGTTCGGGTTGGCAGCTGACAAGTCTGAGTCATCAGTGAAGTCTGAACAGACTCACTTGTCAAAACTAGACTCAACAACAACAACATTTCAAAAAACATCTGTATTTTAAGGCACTTGTCATGGTCTAGAGATCATGTTGCAGTTTATTTGGCTTCATCGCAATTGTTCTTGTACTGTAAATTACATCCTTCATGACTCTTGCTGGCTGATTTGTTTGACACCTGTGTGTTCAGTGGAGCTTAAATAAACTGACAAGTGTCTCGCTGTGCCTCGCTGTGCATTTGCACACTTTTATCACACACCAAAGTTGAGTGTGTGTTTGAGAGAAACTGAAGTTTTACCTGTGGAACAAAGTGTGGACGGTCTAAAATGGAGGTCACCTTGGGAGTTGTGTTTAGAAATCTTTCCTGGCACTTGGAGCGCTTCGTGTGTGTGTATGTTTGTCAGAGATAGTCAGAGGGAACGTGAACAGGTGCTTCCTGCTTAGGAGATAGCTGTGAACTGGAAAGCTGTGTCCCTGATAAGTTTAATGCTCATGGACCTCATTGGTCATTACATCATTGTGTGAAACT